CATTTGGCGAGAAAACGCGACGTCAAACGGAAACACCGGAGTCTCCTAGTCGTGGATTTCAATTTGTTTGTTCGACGCATCCTTTTATCAGTTTATTCGAAAAGTGAGTCTAATATTTTACAGTAAAATTTTATTCAATGACGTGCTTACCGCTTTCTTCTATATTCTTTTGCCATCTTTCTGGTAAATTTGAATTGCCGTGCTCGTATTGGTCCTGCTCTTTGTTGGCAAAACGCTGAATCAAGTGATTTTTCACATCTCTCAAAACGAGATTGAACCGTGTACGAATTCGCGATCGTTAATTTAAAGTGGAACGTTCGGAAAATGAATATAATCGGTGATCTTCGCTACCGTTATTTCTAATTAATGGGACCGTTATCAGAGGTAGCACACGATTGGCGCGCGATATTATATACTTCTCAGGATTATATTAAATTTGTGAGTGAATCGTTAAAAGGCCGCGCGTTAATCGCGGATGAGATTCGGATTCGGATCGAGGTAGGGTGGCCGGAGGTTCTGAATGTCCGCATTTTCTCAGCAGCTGCTTCGCCTTGATTTACTTTTTCGTCCGCGTACGTCGCTCGATGGATCGTTCGAGTAAAGAAAAAATGACGAAGGAAGGAAGGAAGCAAAGGGACGGACGAGGAAAGGAAGGAGAAGAGGAAGTGGGCAACTGTTCGCCGTCGCTCCGTGCTTCCTCGACGTTTTTCTCCGCCGTATCTAAATACAGGAAATTCACGGTTAAACGCGGTGTCATGACACGACCCTGTTTACCGTCGAAAAATTCTCAGCGCATAAATTAACGGCGGATCAAGCTCGTTAATCGGCCGGTTGCGCGATCGTTCCGCGTCGCTTCGATCGATCGCCGACGATGTTGGAACCGACGACACGCTCCTATCAAAATTCACGATATTTCGCTGGCTCGGCGATTCGATTATGCAAAGTGTTTGCGTGCGGTGACTCTGCCGGCGTATCGACGTCGCTTTTTTCCCCCCACTCGATCTTTTACCTTGACATTTCGCAAATATTCCCTCCACAATGTAAAACCTTCTTCCAACGAAATCAAACTTTTGTATTCAATCCTTTCAATTTATACATATTGCCAGCGGCCCAAGATGAACCGCGAGCGGAGGCAATCCTTTTCTCGTCACGTTCATTATTGATTTCGTTTCTATTGTTACTTATTCGAAGGCATCACCCTTCTCGATACGTACAAAGAAATGACAAAAGGATAAATTAGATACCAATGTAGTACAGTCTGTGTCACGAAAGTGTCCGTACACATTTTAAAACACAGCAACCTTTGTAAGACTGGACTAAATTACCTGAATTTTTTTACACGATAGAGGGATTAGTCTACCGGACAATGATTAAAATGCATTTTTTTTTTTAAATTGCTACTACTTGGAATGACAAAAATAACTTCTCGGTTTTGAACTTTTTTATCCAAAAGCCTGAAACGAAAATTTGAAGAATGCTGTTTGTAGATCACAAGTTTACTGGACTATGTCTAAAAAGATTTTTGGAAGAGTTACAGTTGGTTGGAATGTCAAAAAGATAAAAACAAGTACATAAAAAGATTACATGTTTTAAGTTTGATTTCTGTGTCTAGGATGAAAATGCAAGCGATGCGTTCATTTCGCAGAAATCTGAATGTATCATTTATTACACTTTAACATATTTAAAGCTAGACGGATGAACATGTTACCCAATAGCGTTGTCGATAAAGGCATCGATGGAACGCTTTTACAAAGTTCTAAGAAAAAAGAAATCGTCGAAAAACATGACGAATATAAAATCGTAGCCAAGTGACTCTGGCCAAAGCACCGCGGTTTTGATCTAATCCACAGGAAACAGATAAATTTGTCCTGTAGCCCCACCACGCGTCCCGACGCGTCGTCTCACCGGGAAAAATCTAAAAACGTAGGAAATCCGGCTGGGTTTCGCGGTGAACCTTTCGGAGCCACGTCTCAGCAGATGCGTACGGCCATTTGCCATGGCAGCTGCACTCCTCACCACCGTAAACCTCGAGCTCCAGCCCCGGTGCACCGACCCGACCGTCGAACTCGGAACGTCGTCTATCGAAGCATCCGCCACGATCATGGCAATAGACTCCGCGATCGCCTCGCGATCCTATTAATTCGTCCGGTTGTCCGTCGAAGTCGGAGTCAGAGTCAGAGACAGAGCCGGAGCTCGAGTCAGAGCCTAGAGCCAGATTTCTATTGGTCTTCGGCGATCGTATAATCGCCGGAGAAACCGGTTTTACGCGGCGCAGAACCGAGCGTATCTTGGACACAGGGAGACGAACAGGCGCTGAGGAAACTTGGCATGCCCCTGGCCGTTGATCCGAGGGTAGGGTAAAGGTACCTGGGCCCTGACTCCGGCTATCGCATTCACGGTGCCCCGACGGGAGTGGGGGCTGACTCGCGGCTCGTGCTCCGTATCCGAGCGGACGGAAAACAGGGCCCGGTCGATTCGTCTCGTTCGAGAAACTAAAATTTTCTACGAATTCCTCTTCGGATTACTTTCGCAAAATCAACGTTATCGTAGCAAGGATATCGATTCTATGATTGAATACGAAACATTGAACTGTGCAATAACAAACTAACGCTTTGCACCCCAACGCAAGCCATTCTCAAAATCAAAAATAATCTTTCTAGCCTACAGTGTTTCCAAGTTACACACGACCTATATACATATTTTATACATATGTTTCTTTTTATGTACTAATGGGTTGCCGCTCGTATAAAAATAAATAAATAAATAAATACGTGTTATGCGTATGAAATCGAGCCCTGTGACACGTGTGACAGTTACAATTTTAACAGTTTTAAAAAATTAACGAATATCACAATGTAAAAATTATTTATGGAAGGGTTAAGCAATGGCAAAGAGCTAACGCAACAAGTATTATACCGTACTCGTTGCGTTAGCTCTTTACCCTCTTCCATAAATAATTTTTACATTGTGATATTCTTTAATTTTTTTAAACTGTTAAAATCGTAACTGTCATAGGTGTCATAAGGCTCGATTTCGTACGCATAAAATGTATCTATTTATTTATTTTTGTACGAGCGGCAACCCATTATTACATAAAGTATTATACCGTACTTGAAAATAAAGATCTCACGAGTGCGTAACATTCGCAATTATCGAAGCATTTTAATCGTTGAAAGTTGGCGATGAGTAAAATTATCAGAAGATACTGCGATCGCTTTATCCTTATCGATTCTATGATATAGAATGTCGTAATAATAACAAGCTCGTATTTTGAGGAATTTCCTTGCGAAACGTCGCACTCGCGTTTTCCCTTTCGCTACGGCCCGTGTCATCGACGATCTCGTGGTTAATAGCATCGGAGCATCGTCTCGTAATGTCCTCGAGGAGGACACGGCGGCATCCTACGGAAATTTCAGAACAGACGGAGAGGGGCCTCCCATTAAAGGGCAATTCGCTTGTTACGAGCGCAAGAAGTAGCCGCGGCGTGTACCGTTAAGCGGTTCGAATTTCGGAGAAGGTAGAGGGCATGCCGGGAGCTGAATACACCCCTGGCGGGCCGGAGGACCCGGGTAGAGCGACCTGGGCCCGTTTGTACTACGGCATTCGCGTCTCGAGTGTATCAGGGGGGGGTTCTTCGAGTGTCGGCTTGCCGGAGTATCGGAAGATCGAGCGTGAGTTCTCGTCTCTCGACCCGACCCGTCCCGCGTCCCGTCAGGTTTTTCCGTTGCTCGGTGAAAGTGGCCAGGTTTATCGTGCGCTTTTTCTCCATCGAGACGAGAGTGGAGACTCGAACCGAAGAGAAATGGATAACGCGTTGCGTGCTCTTCGACCATCTTTCTTCGCAAACGCACGGCTCTAACGCCGCTCCGACCGTTGGAACTCGAAGCGACAGCTTCGCCCAGGTGGCGCGGAAGTTTCTCCTCCGTGGGGAACGGTCGTTTTGTTTAAACAATTACAGGTGTTCGATACACACCGTGTGCAGCATCGTACAGCTCTCTCGGTTCGATCGGATCCGATCGAATATCAATGGTTATCGTTCCGAGATCGATCTCCGTCGACGACGGCGTTTTCGAAGTGGCCGGAACGATTTTGTCTGGATTCGCGCAGCTCGCGGGATATACGTGCCGTCGGATTTGTTCTCGTCGATGACGTTTAGCCAGACGCGACAAATCAAACGAACATCGCAATTCCGGTGGGGTCGCCGGAAGTCGGCGAGCGTGACGGCGGCAATTCTAACGGAAAAACGTGGGAACCCGTAGCCCCATGGCTCCTCTGCTCTTCGTTAACTGACGCGCTTTCAACGAGCCCGAGGATAATCGTGTTAAACGTTCGCGGCCGAACGACGCCGCTCCGTTTTCTTTCTGCACCGAGTGAATATTTTATTGGAGCATCGATTGATGGGGAACAAAGATCGCTCTTCAAATTGCTTCCTTGCGAACGGGAGCGAGTCGGTCGTTGCTCGAGGCGAACTCGAATCGAATTCTCTGAGAGGCGAGCCAGCTCGATTCGCCGCGACACGTATGTTGGTGGAAGCCTGAATTCTCGAAGGGAACTCCAGGATGCGAGGATTCCAACGATTCTGTCGACAGGGCTCGCGGTGCATCCGGTGAACGCGTCCGATTGCGAGCAGGCGATCGCGGTGTTTGGAGGAGCGACACTGGACAGTTCCTCGCGGCGATCCGCCGCGGCACGCTCGAAGGAGGCTCGACCGTGCTCGAGCGAATCCGAGGCAGGATTCGTCATCGATTAAAAATAACGAACCGGAGACACGTTGACGCGGATCATCCACGGCCAACGGTGGAGATCAGCGCGAACGAGAAGCCAGGATACGATCCCCGCTGGTGCGAACAGGAACGCGAGACTGAAAGAGAGTAGTCGGTTCCCACTCTAGGTGTAGAGTCCATGACGTCAACCTCTGGGGCAAACCGAACGACCAGTTTCAACTGCCTGCTCGTGGCAAAAAGGGACGAGCAGGAGGCGGAGGAGGCGGTGGAGGCGGAGGAGGTGGAGACGGACGAAAAGGAAGAAGAAGACAAAGAAGAGGAGTCGACGGTGCGCGATCTCTTCACCCGCGGGTCGATACGCGCGCGTCGTTTCATTTTTACCGGTCGATCCGAGTGCTGTGACGGAAGAGCGCGGGGTTTCGTCGAAACGCCGTTCCGTTCCCTCCGGTTCGATTAATTCGAGCGATTCGGAGGCGAACGAGGAACCGCGCGCGAGGGACAGACGCGAAAGGGTGGAAGCTCTCGCCGGGGAAAAGGTGAATAGAGAAGGCTGCCGTTCGCGGAGCAGCGAATAGGTTGGTCGGGCACACCTGGCTGGCGTCGACGAGATAAGCAGAGGCGCGCGAAGCGCGAGTAAGCCGTGAAGCGCGAGCTGGCTCGCGATGGAACTCGGAGGTTCGGTGACGGTACCTTGGTCGATCGGGAAGCCCCCGCAGTTACCCGCGTTCGCAGTTGTGCCGCACATTTGTCCGAGCAGTGGGCTGCCTCGGTGAAACCGCGGTGTAACGCGACAACACAACGCGGAACAACGAGAAAATTGTCGTACCTACCTATTCCGTTCGCCATACAATAGCTGTGTGCAAGTGATATATATATATATATATCGTCTGTTTCGGAGTGCGTGTGTACACAGAGGAGGAGTGCGTCGACACCCTGGCCGAGAGGGTCGTTGATCGGTGTCGAGGATAAAATCGACGAAAGGCGATCGATAGGGGAAAATAGATCGCGAAGTGCGCGGGGGCCGGCTCTGTCCATGGTATCGCCGTTGCCGTGTATGGTGCACCAAGGGAAACGGCCAAAGAAGCACGGCGCGTTGTGTTTGGATACTTGACGCAGCTCGCTACTGCGCGTCGCGAAAACATCGGTGTCGCAGAGAAATGGGAAACCACCCGTCCGCCCACCAGCCGCTCGAAAGAGCCACCAGTCATGCTGGGAACGGTCTTCGCCTCTCGGTACGTTTGCGATCTTGCTTTATGTCAATGATAACTCTCGCAGATGCCCACGTGTGACGTGTGACGTGTGACGCACGCCTCCCGACGCGATGCGTATCGTTCGACGAAGCGTACGTTGTTCCATGGCAGCCGTGCCACGTTCCGCTGGGGCAAGAGAGCACCTCTTCGAACACCGAGAAACCGCCCTTTCCCGGCGGCCGCTCGCACCGGAGAGGCGCACCCGCCCTACCTTCCTTTTTTTTTCTATTTTCATATCGATCCTTCCTCGTCGACCAAGAAATATCGCTCTCAGACGATAATCGGCGAGCCCATCGAGCCCTGAACCGAGGCCTTCCTTCTTCCTTTGTATTTGCCATTTTCATTTTAAAACCGAGCTTTTTATCCGACACAAAGCTGATTTTTATACACGGTCGACGGAGCTTTAGTTACCGATTCGCGTAGCTGTTTAGAAGCGTGTACAAGTTGCTCGCTCGTTCGTCGTTTAAAGGAAAGAAGAATCGACGAAAAGGTCGTTGCGCTTGTCTTCTCTTCCTTGCGATGCGATCGAGCCGATAGAAAAATGGGTAATTTGCTGAACTTTGTAGATAACGTAAGTAACGCCGGGCGCTATTTTAATAAGTCGATGCGCGTTATCCGCCGCGCATCGGCAACGCGAAAGAACGATAAGTAACCGAGGTAGAAAACTCGGAAATACCTCGCGCGCCCACCACCACCTGTGCCAGTCCAGCAGGTACCGGTGGAATAATCGAAATTGGGTGGCAGTTGCAACACGGGGGAGAGACATCGTACAATCGAGACCGGCGTCGCTCATCGATTTTTCACGGTCTATACGCGCGTGCAGGGGTGTCGGCGTGATTTTCGCAAAGGAATTTACACGCAACGATGCGAAAATGCGAGACTTAATCGCGTCCACGAGTTAATTCCGTTGGTCGTGGGCGGATTGGTATTTTCGTGGTTGGATCGAAACTGGTCCTGCAGAGGTCGGGACGAAGGTCGCGTGTCTTTTCTCCTCGTCGCTCGCGCGTTTCGATAGGCTCTCGAGTTTTCGTCCATGCCCGTCCATATTTCTGCAGCTATTTGTTCGATAACGAATGGGCGAGCTGCACGCGGCTTGAATACGATTATCTAGCATCGCTCGCAGCGTGTACGTATAATACATTGTCGTGTAACCGGCGTCTGTTCGGCCTCTGCTGCGCGGCGAACGTTACACGCCTGGTAGAAAAGTTCTGCCGCGACAAAGACTGCGGCGAAGGTTGATCGACGGTAAACTATGCAGACAGTCTTTTTCTATTCCCCGCGCCGGCATATCTCCCGCACAACTTCGATCCCATTCGCGCGGGTGCTCTTCGAGCTATCACGGACGGAAACACGCGCTACGTTTCGCGCATTTCGTTCCCGCAAACATTCCGCGCGCCTCGAACCTCTTTATAATTCAACGCTCTACTATAAGACGACCTTACTCGCTCGCTGAGGATTTTCAAGCGTCGCCTGCCGGCGGTTGTTTAACAGTTGTCAACGGTTTATCGTTCGCGGATGAGGATTTCTTAATCGGTGTTTCAACAACGATTGCAATTTCTCATGCGCGAATCGACACCGCTCGCACCCTGCGGAGGAACCTAATAATTTCATGTCGGCTTATCGTTTTAAAGATATCTTTCGTCCCGGCAAACTTCCGATAGGTCGAGTGTTTAATCTTTAACCGCGGACATCCGAGTTTGTGACAGCAGCTCGCTAAAATATTAGGTCTACCGTATAATATAATAATATTAGTATTAATAATAATATAAGTATTATATTATTATAAGTATAATATATATATTATACTACTATACTTATACATAGTATACTATACTACTATATATACTAGTAGTATACTATATATAGTATAGTATACTACTATATTTATATATATATATATATAAGTATAATAATATTAGTATTAATAATATTATGCTACCGGAAAGTTCTGTCCGTTTTTGAATTGAAATATAACACAATTTTCATACATCTAATAATATTTATTGCAGAATATACTTTCCATCGTTACTTATGACTTCTTGCCAGCGCGATGGCAACTTGTAAATGCCATTTTTAAGAAATGATTTATTTTTAGAGGCGAAGAACTCAACTAGTGCTTGGTTGATATCAGCTTCAGTTTTGAATCTTTTTTTCCTGTAAAAAGTTCTGCAAAGAGAGAAACAAGCGATAATCGGAGGGTGCTAGGTCTGGGGCGTATGGTGGATGCGACAGAATTTCCCAGCCTAGCTCTGCGATTTTCTGACGTGTCGCCAGAGCAGCATGTGGTCTGGCATTATCATCGGTAGCCATGTTTTCGCGATCGTGTCTCACTTAATAATGACACGAGACATCTTTGTTTCAGTTTATTTAGGAGAGTACATGCGTGTAAATGCAATGATAAAGAGAGATAGTCATATATGTCTCAAATCAACGTGTGCATATGGATTGAAACTTGAAGTGACACTATCGGA